CCTGAAAAACAGTTTAATTTCTTTTTAAAAGTAGGACTCTTTCCCTTCTCTGTTCCAATTTCTTTTAGTACACAGCTATCCAAATTACCTCCTCAAACCTATTTGTTTGTACTTTACACTGTCAAAATTAAATCTTGGAAATTTATTACCCATTTAAAATGTAGCCCTTAATGAGGTTACACTGCTGAGGGGAAGCAGCAAATTTGAGATAKGCAGCAAATTTGCAGTGCCTTACAGAGAAGGGCTATAGGTTGCAACTTGAAGAAATCCATCTTGAAAATGAAACWCTGCATCTCTTTTTGCACTTTATATTACAACCTCAGAATGCTGAGGCCCTGTGTGGCTGATTTCTGTGCTTCCAGATTTATTTCAGATTTATTCATGCCTCTCTCACTGCTGTTCTTGAAACTCATGCCTTGCTGTCCTCTTCAGCTGTATGKCTCATCATAAAAAGTCATCTAGAATTATTTGGGCTAAAAGGAGCTGCTGATTTTCCATGTAGACATCATTGGTTGTGGCCAGGGAATATCAGCAATAATTTGGTAAGGAGTAGCCAGGATCAAGGACAAAAAATTAGATGTGCATGAAGAAGCCCTGAGATTGTACTTCAGCATATAATCCAAGTATAAATTCTGATCTGAGTTTAATAACTTCAAGTTAGGCTGCACAAGTAAATAATTAAGAAGCTATTTATCATTAAAAAGAGAGGAACAGGCACTCATGTGAAGAAACAGAAATGTTTTTGCCTTTTAGATAACTGCTCATTATCATTTAGAAATGGTCACCTTGGTTCAATAAACTTTAAAAAAATAAAAGGAATCTGGTTATGCAGCYTTGGCCTTGTCAGGCTACAAGGAAGGAACATCAGTAGTTTGCCCTGGAAATAACTTTTTGATTAGTGATTAGTGATTAATAAGYCAGGTTTTGGGGGATGCTTAATGCAATGGAGATTGAAGGAGGAAATGTGTCCCTGTTAATAGCAGAGAGATGGCCATCTCAACCCTTTGAGAAATGTTAATGGTTTTTACAGACTTGTCTGAGATTAGGAAAGAAAACTCTGTGAAAATGAGCAGGAARAAAGAGAAAAACTTGATGTATTTACTGAGAAGAACAAAAGGTACAGTTTGGGCTGTCTAAAAAGGCAGGATCACTCTATGGATCTGGTTAAGGTTTTTTGGAAAATTTTTCATGGGAAATAGTTGACTTTATGAAGGGRAACAATAAATAGAGGACTTAAAAGACTGTTAGTCCTGGAAATATTTTCAGCAAGGCTGCAAGAAATATTTTCCAAGAAAATAATTTGCATTGAAAACAGGCTATTACATCTTTTTTAGGACACAAAAGTAACTGAAGCTGACCTGAAGGATTGAATKGATCAGATAGCTGATTTTGAGAATTACCAGTGATTGTGGCATTCTTGGAGTCTGGTTTGACATACAGTTCAGGAACTGTCAATGGTTGTGAATTTTGTTAATTAGAGATGTAATTCTGTTTTTCTACCATTTGTACTATTTTTATACTGACATATTTGGGGGAGAGGGCACTGCTGAGAAAATTACATCTTCATTAGAAAAGAGTTAGGTTTATTATTACCTATTCTCTTTTGAGAAGKTGGGTAATTCCTSAAGTACATCATAGGTCTGTAGAGTWGTTTGTTGTCAGATTTAAAATAAAAAGCAATTAAGTTCTTTACTGATTAAAGTATACACAGAATAGCCTGAATTAATTGGAACTCTWTRYGYWTWTWYYTYKWRA